TTTTTACCCCTAGACATGAGCACAAAAAGAAAAAGCTACTCCATGGAGTACAAGAAAGGAATTGTGGAAGACTTTTGGGGCCAAAATCTTACTGCTTTCTGCAAAGAGAAGATGTTGAGTATCCGATTGGTCCGAAAATGGCGAGCAGAGTATGGTAACCTCATTGAACAAGTGGACAAGGGAAATGCTAAGAAGCGCAAGCGTGGATCAGGTCGGCAACCATTATTTTCTGAGCTGGAAGACCTAGTCTGTGAATGGGTTGTTGACAGGAGGGTAAAGGCTTTGGTCGTGAGTGGGCCTCAGATTCAAGAATTTGCCCTTGCAATGGCACCACAGTTTGACATTGCCCCCGAAGACTTCAAAGCATCCCAACACTGGCTGGATAATTTCCTTCAGCGAAGTGAACACTCTTTAAGAAGATCCACAACTATTACCGTGCTATATACGGGTAATAAATTTCCTTTTTTGGGGTTCAACAATAAATGTGTACCATATTCTTCTTCATGGAAAAATAAGATATCCCCTGAAAATAAGAACTAGCGCATCTTTGGGAGCAAAACTTAATATAAGACATTGTCTTATTTTCGGGGAAACAGGGTACTAGAAAAACAATATACGTCATCACATAAAATAAAGAAGAACCATGTATCAATTGATACAGCTCAGCATCCACTCCCGATAAAAAGGACACTCAACAGAATAGGTGTAGAAGAAATTTCTCAGCACACTAAAAGCCATATATGTGAAACCAGTTGCCTGCATCTCACTGGATGGAGAGAAACTGAAATATTTTGTCTTTATACAGGAATAGGCAAGGTCGGCCTGTATCACCACTTTTATTTAACATGGTAAGTTTTAGTTAAAGCCATAAGACATCAAAAAGAAAGTATGCACATAGGCACAAAGAAATAAGAATCTATTTGCAGACAACATAATCACATACAGAGAAAACTCCAGAAATTCAATTAAACAATTGCCCGAACTAATGAAAAAATTTGGCAGTGCAGCAGGCTACTAGATCAACATACAGAAATCTGTTGGATTCTTATATATTAAGTATGATGATACTTTAAAAGATCACCAAAGAACAACACCATTTACAATAACTGGGC